GGGAGGCTGAGGAGTGTGATCCCCCTATAGTTGGAACACACCCTCCGGTCCCCCTTCTTAAAAAGAGGGACCACCACCCCGGTCTGCCAGTCCAGAGGCACTGTCCCCGACCGCCATGCGACGTTGCAGAGGCGTGTCAACCAAGACAGCCCAACAACATCCAGAGACTTAAGGTACTCAGGGCGGATCTCATCCACCCCCGGTGCCTTGCCACCGAGAAGCTTCTTGACTACCTCAGTGACTTCAGCTTGGGTGATGGACGAGTCCACCTCTGAGCCCTCAGCCTCTGCTTCCTCATCGGAAGACATGGTGCCGGGATTGAGGAGGACCTCGAAGTATTCCTTCCACCATCCAAAATGATTTAATTTTATTAATTTCTGAGCAATGCTTATCTTTTATTCTACGCTTAAGTTTTTTCGTGATGCTGCTAGGAATTCTTAAGTTTTTTAAGTTTGTTTGCTTTTGTCCCAAAACCTACAGTCAGGAAGACCTGGCTCAAGTTAGATTTTGACTGAAAATTGCTCGACTGTTATGCTATGATAATGGGGTCCTTATCATGAATTTTCCCTTCAAAGGCAGCCTCACAAGCTGACCTCCTGATGTGGCAGAAAAGGGAGACAACCTTTAATGAAACAGAACTATATGAATGACCAGAAGGGAAACCCAGCCTATCAAATAGTAGTCTTTTTAGAGATGCTGCAATTTTGAGACATGGACAGAGTCATGTCTCAAAAAAGGGGGAGTAGATAGGGACAGCCATGCTAGGGTTTATGAATTTTCAAACTACTCCAACATTTTTGTGAACCATACAATATGGGCTTGCCACAATGCAAGAGAAAACTTAAGAACTAAAAGAGGTCAGTTTCCAAAACCACTACTTCCATTTCAACACATCTGCACGGACTCCATAAAACTAAACAAGGGTGAGGGAAAGAAATTCTTCCTGGTGATAATAGACATATTGAAGTGCTTCTCACAACTCATAATCCCCAGATATGAAATACTTGAAAATTATATAGTGACAATGGAACCCAAGTTGTACACTGTGCAATACCATTGCCGGACGGTTTGTGCAAAAAATGGTTTAAAAAAAAAAAAAAAAAACATCTTTTACTAATAAAACATATTTAGCTTCAGGAGATGGAAAACCATAATGTTCATTTCCAACTTAGGTAAGCTTCTCTGTTATTATTTTACTATACTTCTGCATTACCCAAAACCTCCAAATATGTGTGGAGATTTATCTTCTGCAGAAGCACCTAGTGATTTTAATCGTGACTAGGTCTGTGTACAAAATATAATTCATCTGAGACAGTTTGTGTTTCTAGGATAGTGTGAATGCTGTACTCCTCTGGGTACTTTTTTTTTGAGTGAAAAAAAGGTTAATGAACTTTCTTTTTCTGTCTGTGTAAATATTCTGTCACTTATTGCATCCAATACATAGAAAAGCCAGTTACTTTCATTGCTTTGCCATCAAGTGCATTGAAAGACATGTTCTTTCAAAATTCATCAACCCCCCCAGTCCTTTTCTCTTTCTTTATCTGCATCACTAAGCCTCCCATTGAGTGCGACTTATAACTTGAAGGTAACCAACCAGGCTGACACTTGCACATGTACATGCTGTACAATACAGTCTATAATTTGGGCAGTGACACATTTGACTTGTTTTAGCATTTATTTGTTTTAAATGGAACTATGAATGGTACCGAAGTGCCCAAGAAAGGTAGAATGAGGAATTTAATTAACATAAAAAGGATGTAAAACTTAGTGACATTTTGCTGATAGCTGTTAAAATTGTCTTTTTGCTTCCTCATTGTGATGGGCTATTCTGTTTGTTCTGTATGAAACTCTCCCTTCTTACAAAAGCAGGTTCTGTATCTTAGCATCTGAACAATGTCTTATTTTTGTGAGCTACACTAATCTGTAGAGGTCTATTTGACCCCTTTATTTTTGCTGCAACAAAGCACTTATCCCTCATGAATAAAATGTGTATAAAACATCTTTTATGTCCAATAGTTGTGTTGGCAGACAGACTTCTCTGCCTATAAACTGAAACTCCCTGATATAACTGACCACCTGCTCATTTAGCTTCATGAACGAGCATCATATGCTAACCTCTGTTCAAATCACTCTCTCTTGTTCATTAGTACAGTATGTGTGAATCTGGTTACATATGTAGTTACGGAAGAAAATCAATTACCCCATGGCATACTCCTCCTCTTTGTTCTTCTTCTTCCGGCAGCAGCAGCAATAGATGATGAGGGCAAGTGCCAGCAAGGCGGCGGCAACTCCAGCAATGATTGCTACAGTGGCGCCAACTTTCATGGAAGCTGTAAGATTGAATGAAGACAAGTTTTTTTTAAAAAGGAAGGGAAAGATGCATATTGCAATGCAGTGCTTTAAAAATTTATCGGGAGCAATAAATTTCCAGTTTGGTAATGAAAAGCTGCTACAAGAAGGTTCCTCACGTGGCATGACTGAGAGGGTTATGTTGCAGTTAGCCCTGCCCATCTTGTTGGATGAGGTGCAGATGTAGAATCCTGATGCGTCTTTTGAGATATTGTATAAAGACAGGATTCCGTCCTCTGAAAGGAAAAGTTAAACATATACTGTACACACTACTGCCATCATGGTTTTAATGCTTTCTTATTTTATAGACTACAAACTCTACAGTGTTACCGTTTATAAAATATCCGAAACTCTACACAACACAATCAGCCTTAGAAAATTCACATGAGTTATATTCTACATTTAGCAATCCATACCCTGATGGCGTAGTCAAGCCCAGTGCTACTAAAGCCCCTAATTTCCACCCACTGCACTGAAACTGTTAAATGTGATGACTTCCAAAACATCAGAGACAATGTTTGAATTATTCTACTTCATTATCACTACACAACCTTGTGTTTCAACTTTAAACATCAAACCAGACTAAGAATTGACTCCAAGTTGACCATGTTAAACTTTCAACTTACAAACTAAGAGGAGCAGAGCATGGCATGATTCTAATCCTGATCATAGCCATAGTTCTTTTGCAGTGGTAAGTAAAACTTTATGCATTGAAGGTTCACTTAAATCTTTCTATGATCAACAGTCCTATCAGAAACTATGTCACTGATACTTACTGTCAGTGGTCTTGGGGTCTGGAACACGAGGGTTGTTCTGTACATCACGACTGTCCCATTTATAAGTGGGTGGCGGGGAGCCTTCCTGAGACACACAGGTCAGGTTGATGTTCTCGCCATACTCTGCCGTACCCTGGATCTTGCACATGGGTGGAGACGGAGGCACTAAAAAACAAAGTGTCCTGTCCTTAAATAGCCAATAAAACTATTTTGTTTTGTTAAAGATGAAATAAAGATACCAACTGGTAGCAGAAACTAACAAAGTTGGAAAAACTGCAGTAAGCATTATACTGACTAAGCTTTAACGTCATCTTGAATATCTGTCGTCATCGGTGTGTGAATGTTGTATGATCCTCTGTAAAGCTCTTTGGCCAGTGCAACACACTGTGAGAAAAGCACTATATAAAATACAGTCCATTTACCATTTACCATCTACAGTAGATAGGTTAAATAGAACACCATAAAAAACATGCAATGCAGAGCTGTTTACACCCAATTTTAAAAATGTAAAAGCAGAATATTTCTTTGAAAACAAATGAAATATTACCTAGAACCACCAAACGTGTAGTTGCATCTGGCTTGCCAGTCATGTCACCCTTTGCCTGGACATGACAATCAAACACCCTGTTGTCTGCAAGTGAAATGGAGTTCAGCTTCAGGTTGGCCCTTCCAGTGGGGATGTCTACGTCCATCGACGCCCGACCTGCATAGTCTTGTCCAGTTTCAACACTTTCATCAGCAGAATAGTAGATGGCAATCTCGGTCTGTTAGAAAACAACAGTATTAGAGCAATATTTTAAATAAATAAATAAAAAAGAAAAACTTCTTTCTTATTATTCATAATACAATACTAATGAATTAGGATTATGATAGATAGAGAATCGTTCATACATATATAAATACAAATGCATAAACAGATAGCATTCATCTGACCTCTGTGTCTTCAGCTTGAACAGGCCTAAGAGACCATTTGATGGTGATTATTTTGCCGGTTACTGTTTTAAAGGTACAGGGCAGTGTGATGTTATCACCCCTTTTAAACTCATATGACGCCTGTGGGATGGTCACAGTAATGGCACCAACACTTGACCACACTGTCAAAAGATTTAAAAATAGATATAAACACACTGATTAGATGCAACTTTGACATTTATAAAAACACAGAACTGGGATTAAGATGAAGTTAATACAATATGTGATACACATCAGCGAGTCTGGACCTTTAGATCCAACCACATGCCTCATTACCCCACCCTCAAACCCACCTGCACACAGCAGAGTACACCACAAGTGTAGGCCCACCAAAAGCAACAAGCAAATTCAATAATCGATCAACTAGTTTTATGCAAAGCTCTAAATACAGTACAACTACATACAATTAATACCACAGGGTTATATATAAGCTTGATTAATAAAGCTTAATATCTTATGGGTTTACTGGTCTTCTACAACAGAAAACTCGATATCTTTGGATTCTGTCCAACAAGGGGAACTCTTGATCATCCAAACCCTTTACCTAGTAACCAGAAAACAATTGCTAAACAATTACAATAACTGTGGGTTGCAACCTTGTGTGCTGAAAGTCTAACATGCTAGAAATATTAACCAATCATTCTATAAGGTTGAAAGCAAACAGGAAGCTACAGGTCGAGTCAAAAGCTTATTCCAATTTAATGCTGTTGATTTCAAGAGCCTCCGCGCTTTCTGAATTCTGGTTTTACTTCAGATATTTGAAGAGCATAATCGGTTTAACTCAGCAGCCACAAGGAGGTTATTGGGCCTGTTGGTTTTAGCGCACAGAAACCTGTTTGCGTAAACAGGTGTGGCAGCTCAGTTACACTCAAAGGAAATAAGGTATTGTAGGTAGCCCGGTTCTCTCATTTGAATACTCACCCAGACACAGAGTCAGAGTCAAAGCAGAAATCCTCCCCTCCATACCAAAGACTTTTATCTTCTTAAACTAACAATTTATTTTTCTGCGCGTCGTTCTTTTTCTCCAAAATTAACACAAGCACTACATCCACCTGAGAACCGCCTTCACCGAAACCCGACAGCGTTCGAGTGATGCGCTTAAATGGCTGTGAGCGCCTCTGCTGGATGACTGACACCTCTCCCCCCCAATCATCGCAGCCCCTCCTGCTCAGGTAACAGTCTTGATCCGCCCACCTCGCGTGTTTCAGCTTGCCCTATCCGCCAGTATACCTGAGCTTTAAGGGATACTCCTTGAATGAGACATGTCTGCTCAAGATTGCTTTTACAGCAGGAACACATTTCCACAATTTGTTAACCGTTTCCGTTTAAAAATATGAAAAACATTTATTTACGCTTGAAGCATTATAGCTTATGGTGTCAACAGCCCATATTAACAGAAAGAGTTATAGAATCATTGTATTTATTCTCTTTAAACAATCAGCTTTATGTTGCAAGAGACAGAAACAGGAGTGGTGATAAAGTACCTGCACAACCAAACTCTTGGCACAAAACGAAACTGGTGTGTGCTGCTACAGCAAGTGAGGCATTATATTTTGTCAGACTGGTTTGACAAGGATAATGACACACACACATACACACACATTTGTTGTACTTCTATCTTTGTCAGGACACTCGTTGACATAAAGCATTCCCTTGCCCCCTCACCCTAATACTAAACCTTCAAAACTAAATGCCCAACCATAACCCTTAACCTAGCCCTAACCTAAAACTAATTCTAACCTGAACCCTAAAACTAAGTCTTAACCCTCAAAAAGGTGTTTCACAAAGTGAGGACCAGCCAAAACGTCCTCAAAAACTACTTTTTTTGTCCTGACTATGTAGCATGTACAAGGACACACACACTGAAAAAAGGAAGAAAGAAAAAGGTTGTTATTAGCCTAGTATATCGACCTCTATGTCTGACTAGAGTTTAAAATATTTGATTTTGAGTAGAGTAGCTAAACACACCAGGACCACCTCACAAAGTAATTTCATCGTTGGACATTAGGAAATGCAAGAAATAGGCACTGAGATATCAAGCACATCTTGGTTGTTCTTTTTTTTTTTTTTTTTTGAAAGCTTAGGTATACTAGAAAACATTCACTTCTGCCCAGTTGTGAATAATCTGTGAATACTGCAAATAAAAGGAAAAGTCAAAAGACCCAATTGCTGATTGGAAAAGGAACAAAAACTAATATTAATAGGTGTTGTTCTTTTTTAACTTTCTGTGTTTGCATCCCAGATTATTTGATAGTAAAACTGAATTTCAACACTCTTAATATGTATACCACTTTCTGTCACATCTCATATCAGCATAAATACATGATCTATGGTTTTTGACCCAGCTGGAGAAACAACAGTATATAAGTAAAGCAACCAAACAAAAATTGCAGTTTTGTCTAAAAATTCAACAAGGTGCAGTCTGCGGTAATCTACTGTATATACTGCACCCATTAAAAAAATACAATCCTTTCTCTGCTCCGCCATAGTTACTTCAGGGATCCTTTACATCTCTGTCATTGTTTGGGCTTTTCTGTATTCCTCACTTGCCTTTTCAGTTTGCAAATCACATAAACAGATGACATATTCATCTTGTTTGTTTCCCAGCAGACACTTGGGTAGAGAGTGCAGTCGAGAGGCTCCTCTGCACTGCTCACTCACGAGTGATATTTAGGGAAGTTCTGAATGTGCCCAACTCACAGACTCTCATGGGCCAAGCCATGCACCCAAATCACATAAAGCAAGGCTGACACAAATAAACAGCAGTCTGACATTGCCAACCCTGAAGCCATGCCACTAACATTATCAAGTGGAAAGTGAAATTGAACATGGTCTCCTACCATTTCTTCTGGTTCTGTTCATTTACTGTCTCCTGTCATCTTCAGATAAAGGGACTTCATACTCCAGTGGACTACAGGCTGTGGCACTAATGCTCAACATCTGAAAAGAAGAGGCCTGACAAACAAGCTGTCCTTGTCACATGACCGCCTCCTGGTGGTTGGAGTGTGGTGTTACACATCCCTGTTTGCTGTAGGGCAGTAGGGACATTACAGTCCTGAACCTTATGGCACCGCCTGCTGCACTGACTGTCAAAAAAGACAAATGATAAGTAAAGTGATATGTCGAATTATTTTAAAGGAGATGAAAATATTGTTTTTGGTCTCTCCTGTGACAGGAATATATTATTGTGTAATAAGTTATTTCTTCTAAATGATGTATTAAATATTTTAATGGATGCTTAATTAAATTATGTATTGCATATATTAATGAAAGTTCATGTCAGTGCCTGTAATCTTACATGCACAGTATGCTCATATATTTCTTTTAATTTTCTGATAGTTAAAAATAAAACAAAAAACACGAGTTATGTTACAGCCATGTCTGATCCTGCCTTGTACAGTACACACCAAAACAGTAACAATTATTTTTCCTATATTCAGAACTTCCCTAAATATCAGATTTCTAAATTTAATTCTGTTTTCCCTTTTGTGGCTTTATGTACGCATATAAAAAAAAAAAGCATACAATGTTTTAACATTATTAAAACTAATTCTTGTGCAGCCTTATGAAAAAATACAAACATTCAAGAATTGTTGTGCTCAGATTGATTTGACATCCTTTCCAGTGTTCCCAGTGCTCTTCAGTGATTTCAGACATCATTAAAGCCATCTTTCCACTGCCTGGATTCAATTAACTAAGAGTTAAACTGGTGTATGATGACTATAAAAAGCCATCATCAAATGGGGCTTTGATATTAAGATTCATCATGGGAATGGGTAAATAAAGAGCAGAGTCGCCGTTTTAATCCAACAACAGGTAAAGAGTCTGAACTGGAGTAAAGAAAAGATCAATAAGTCCCCTCGTTCCTTTGTTTAGCAGACTTGGATTTCTTTAATAGATGGTAAAGGGCTGGAATCCTACTTTTTGTTTTAAATTTGCTGTCTTTATTCAGCTGTAAGCTGATGGGAACATGAGATGGGAACGTGACTCGCTCTACCAGTTTTCAGGGTCCTTGTGAATCCCAGCATGGTCAACCCGGTGTCTTACCATTTTCCCGCAATTCTTTAATGAGGCAGATTTTCTCTCAAGCCCATAAATTGTGGCATGAGAATGTGCATACAAGACGACATGCCAGTGCTAAAATTGTCATTAGAACTCAAATAAAGATGACTTTAATGTGCTGAAGAATGATTACTGTAATTATGTTCTCACTCACAGTAAATGTGATGAACCAAGAGTATACAAACAGTGCAGCAAGGGGGAGACAAAACTCCCTTTAACTCCAGCCCTGTTAAGTATTGCTTATCATTATATATTCAAGAATACGCAGTGTTCAAATTATAATTTAAATTATCACATGCAATATATTAGTGACAGCAGCAAAATAAGCACATATACTGTAAGCAGGTCCTGTTTATGAGAACCCTTTTCTATTGACTCTGTCTTTAAATAAAAAGCTGTGTTTCAAGTGCAGGTCTTAAAAACATTATTAGAGAGGGTGGAGTAAAAGATCAAATATTTAACAAAATACAAAACATATGGAGACCTACACTGTAAAAGAAAGTCTTAAAAATACTGTGAACATCTGGCAGCACAGGTGCCAGGAAAACAAAAAGTAAAATACCGTGGGAAAGGACTTTGTTCAACAACTGTAAACAACAGTAAAAGAAACTGTTATAAATATATAATTTTTTAAAATTTAACCAGGCAAGATCCCATTGAGACTCCCAATCTCATTTCAAAGGAGACCTGGCAAAGGCAGCAGCATAATAAAGTCGCTGTAGTACAAAAATGGTAGCAATGTATTGTATAGCAATGTTAGTATAAAATACCTGTGCAATACTTTGTGCAATGCAAATTAACTGTAAAAAATATGATTCAGCAGCCAATCGAGGACATCAACAGTTGTTTTTAAATCATTTCTGTCTAGCTTTAACTTTTTGCTTGAGGTCACTGTCTTTCTGGAAAGCAGATCTTCCCTCACATTACAGGTTTCTCCTATAGAGTGCATCAGGTTTCTCCTGCAATATGCATTTTACTCTGTACCCCTCATAAACCCTCAGAAACATACAAGGAATTCTGCAGTCATTTCAAATGAGTATGAAGATTAGCAAGCAGTGGAATATTGAAAGAATGCCCATCAGGAATTAAGCAATAATCCATACATTCATAGCAAAATCAAATTATAAAAATATTTTTTTAATATAAACTACATATTCAGTGCACAAAAAACAAATGTACAAATCATAATTTTGACACGGATTGAAACACAAGGTAAGCATGTTAAAAATCCATTAACAAGGTCATGTGAGCTAATATCATCTTAAAGTGATCAGCATAAATAGGACAAAATAAATTATGAGCCTTTTTTTATTAATCTGCGTCCAACCATACTTGCAAGCAGGTTGTTGTCATTTAGTTTCCCAGTGAACTTGGGGGTTTGCATCTGTAAATAAAAGAGAGGCCATTTAGAAGTATAAATATACATGAATTCAGAAGAGCTCAGAAAGATACCACGCATGAGGCTGCACCCAGCCGGTGTTTTAGTACCAGATTACTTTGTTTTTTTCTGTTGTATGGCCGAGTACCTGCTGGGAAGACACTTTCATTTACCTTCTACTAGATCCTTTTATTTTTTATGCTTTCACTTTTCCTACTTCCCAGTATGTGTTTAATCATTACCTAATACCTTGGTCTTTACATGTCTAATGCCACTTTTGAGTACAGAATAGAGTAGTTAAAGAAAGTGTCTTGTGCTAAGTGAACAAATTATGTTAAAGCCTATCTCTGGTCTACCTGCAGGATGCTTTATCAAAGCGTTGATGCTTGTGGGCACAGATGGAAGAGTTGAGTTGGCAGCGGTCGATTAGAATTGGCTGGAAAGTCGATACAGGTCTGGGAAGACAGTCACAGCGCTCCACGTCTAATTCACAGTCAGGCATCCCTGAACTGAGTGTAAAATCTAGGCAGGAGGTAAGAATGGTGCATTTAAGTTGCAAAGACAGTGTCAGTTCAAGAAATAACTTTTCATCTCATTTGCTGAATCTGTTACATACATCAGTTTGTTCTAATTTGATGCACACTTATGGTATATCCAATTCACTTTAACATGTCAGTAAAAAGTCCACTGATTTTAAAATGACAAAATAGTGTGAAATGCATTCTGTAGATACAGTATGATATACCTGGGTTAGAGGTCACAATACAGATAGATGTTTCTTTTTTTTAACAAACAGCTCTGTGAGGCTGTTGGTTTAAAAACACACCCACACACCTGGTATACTGGAGGGATAAGGTATGCATCTATCTGTGGAACAATCCCAAATCAATCCACTGGCACAAAGTCTCCTGGAGTCCTCTGCCTCCGACAGCCGGCCCATCAGAGAACAGCTGCAGATGAACCAGATGGATTAAAAAAACATCAAAACAAATCCAGGTGAGAAATAAGATCGATTGAGGTTTTGGTCTCACCCACTACTCCTATGAGGTTCAGCACTGCGTCGTATTATAGCGGGCTCCATGCACGTGCACTCTGTATGATTAGCTACTTTTATTAGCACCGGTTCTGGTACAAACTTGAATGGAATGACACTAAGGACCTGAAATACACAGACACAGAGAGATTGATGTAAGAGTGACCGCTGAAAACTAGTGCTGCTGCTGCTGCTGCTGCTGCTGCAATACTCAAACTCAGATAAAAGTTAATATTAAAGAAAAGGTTCCCCCCAACTATGAGGAGAGATATGGTCACTCACAGTTTTATTCACATCAACAGCAGTTGTGTTTCTGCAAATGACACCCTCTTGATTGCAGCAACCACCGCACCTATCAATAGGAAAAAATAATTCACATATTGATAAAGTATGTGCATGGGAAAAAAATTAATACAGAAAAGTTCTGGTGAAAGAGCTGTAGTTGACTGAGAAGCCGATGCGAAAGACAAACCAACCTGTGAACAGACACACAAGGCGGCTTGAAAAACAATGATGGGTCAGTGCCCAGCTCCTTGGCCACGTCGACACACGCTTCCCTTGGCATGCACTGAGTCCGCTGCCACTCTTCATCTATGGCTAAATAAGAGACACACAATGTTCATAACCACATTAATGTGGATAAATAGACTTGTACATAACATGTATTACATATTTATCCAACCTTTGAGGATCTCCAGGCTGTAAGACTCAGCAGCATAACGTGTGGAGCGGTGTGAGCCTACTGAAGGTGGAGAAGAGAGCGTCTCTCTCTGGGTCTCTGGATACTGCAGTTTCAGACGACATTTCCACAGCTTCCAGTCAGGAAAGTCTGCGAGCCTCAGCAGCTCATCCAGACTCGAAGCTGACCGCACCTTCCTTTCCCATTGCTTCATTACCTGCAGGTATCACAATCAGTTATCATTAAATGTCTCACAAATATATATATAAAAAAAAGTCCTCATTAATACCTGATGTCACTGTGCCTGTCATTATGGGATGGAAATTTGGTGTCCTTTTAAAATGACACATTCATTAACTTAACTGGGGAGTCTAGAAGTCTGTTGAAAGGAACTGATAGGTACATGAGTACACGCTGATGATTCTAATTTTTTTTTTCAATGTGCAATTTTGAGGACACTGTTTGGTGGATGGTGGTCAGACACAGCCCTGTTAAACATCAACATGTTAGTGTTGACACTGTGAGTGCAATAGCATTCTGATGTTAGCATTTAGCTCAAAGCTGCACTGTGCCTTAGTACAGTCTCACAAAAATACTGCTCTTAGTGTTGCCTAAAATATTTAAGCAAAAACAAGGAAAATGCAATAAATATTGAATTGGTTCAAGTTAAATAAAGTACATTGATAGCTACAGTATATGTAGTACTTTCTGCTAACATGTGCCTCACATGTGGCATTCGCTTTAGTGTGGAATGACTTTAAACACTTAGCCTGCAGAAGTCGCACCCATTAGTTGAAGTGTGAATAAACAGTGTGCAGCAGGTACTGTGTGCATCTGCTCCAGTCTGTCAATGAACAACGCTCATTCTAAAGTTTGATGGCTCTGCTACCACAGAGTATAGCTATACACTACGACATGCAGATTTAATCCCACGACCTCAACAAAATATAGGACTTAAATCACCTGCATACACTTTGAAAGGAGGCATCTGTTGTATGTAAACATACACATACATATTGACACAGAGTATCTGAGAAATTCAGGAGTGAGAGAAAACCATCAAATCATCTGTCATGCTATGATACAAAACCAAAGTTCCCATGATGATATATACCAGAGCAAAAGAGAAGCAGAATAGCTTAATGATGTGTTTGAATAAGATGTTATGAAATACAGAGTTGAGTGTTTTAGTGATTGGAGAAGAGTTCAAACTTATGAATTCCTAGGCTCATTTTTGAGGTGGGAAAGCCAAAGATTCAGGATAGTAGGACTACAACCACGGTGGAGGCACATTAGAGCACAATCATGGAATATTGCACTTGTGTGCACAATGTTTGGTTTATAACCTCTGGGCAATTGTAACAATCTGAGTCCTCTGAAGTGTTCAGGGTGGGGAAAGCTGGCTGGCTGACCGCTTCCACTTGAATCAAAGAAACAATAACAGAAAACAGGGAGGTTTCCCCTTCTGCAATTTATTACAGGGGATAGACCCACTAATGAGAAACAGAGAGGGAGAGTGTCTGTAAGGAAGATGACAAGAACTGAAAGAGAGGTAAAGATGGGGAGAGTTTAAACAGAGAGAGTATGGAAAGTGAAAAATAATGGAGATGAAGCTGGAAGTTCACGAGTGAAGTATAGGTGTGCAATAGTTAAATAATCAGTCTGTTGCACACACATTATTGACATGCATTTATTTGTGCAACATGCTAGTGCCCACATAAAATGCATCAATTTTAATTTCAGATGGCAAAGCATGGTGAGCACGTGCGTTTACTGCACTGGCAGCAGCTGGTCAAGTGTGAGGTTTATGAGATAATGTGTGAAGAGGAAAGAGGCTACACAGCTACACACTGCAAAAGAAAGTGAAATCAAGCCTGAACTAATCAGCAATTCAAGAGCAAAGCAATGTTTTCATTTCTTCTAAAAAGTGTTTAGAAATTCAAGCTGTTATTAGCACTAAGGGTAACAGTGCAGTATCTGTCATTGTACACTAGCTCCAAAAAGCAGAAAAGCTTCTAATGGCTTCTTTGATACATATTACATACACTTACATAGACATAAAGCTTCATGCCGCACTTACCCTACTTCCTCCCTCTCTGTGCCTGGTGTAGCCCACATTTATCCAGCTGAGCTCCACCACCAGAGTCACCAAGCAGAAGATTCTGCACAGAGTTTGTTTCATCTTCATCATCATCCCTTGACTCTGCTTGTTTCTCTGAGAAGCACTCGGCAGTATGAACTTTTACTACTGGCAGAAAACACAGGGTCGGTTGTCTCTCTGACTCAGTTTCCCAGACCAGCCGAGTCCCTCAGACCACACACATACACTCAGTGTAGGTATGTGCAACAAACTCTTGATCTTCCAACTGCACAGTAGAGAGTGTGAGTGTGTGTCACAGCAACCCAGACACCCACAAGCCAAATGGAGAAGGCTTCAGAGGCTTTAAAACATCTGTCTCTTACTGCTGATGTTTTAATGCAAACCTGAGCAGTTAGCTTGTAAATAAGTAAGTTAAAACCTCAATATTACCTCAGAAAATAAACTTTTCCCTTGAAGACTTATGATCAGCACACTCCATTTTGTTCAAATAAATTGAGGGCCTGAAAGATACAATAGGTGATACAGGGTCTCTGATCTGTGTTCACTTTTCTTCATTACATTTCCTCATGAAAAGACTGCTTATGTATGGCTTCCTAATTTCAGTGGTTACAATATCTGTATGTTGAGCTCTTTCAATCTATCATTTGTCGAGATCCTATTGTGGTTTGTAAATGTAAAGGGCACTGATGTGCCTCTAAGCAAGCCTTTTAATTGCTTGTGTGTTCCTTTCTTCTTTTTTAAAAATCTGTCTAGTCCCCTGCCTGTGTTAGTGTCTTTTCCTCTGGAGCTGCCAAACCACACACACAGCAGAAAAGCAGTTAAGTGTTTTAAATGTGATCCAGACGGACACCCCACCCACTTGCCCATCCAAGACCATTTGACACAGGATGTTAAAACATAAATTATAAATGGATTAAATATGAGAAGAACATTCATAATTTGTATGGAAATAATTAACAGTAGCTTTGGGATTTTCTTTGCGTGCTGCAAAACCATGTCTATAATGAAACATACAGTACAAAACAGTATTTTACAATGTTTTTATATGGTCTGTGCAGATTTTTGAGGCCATGTGATACCTGGAAAACAAATTCCAGCACCTGAATAAATTCATTTAGTGTTTGCCTTTAGCTTATTCTGAGGTACTTAAATGACAAGGTCGGTCATTTTTATATTAACAGAATTTGCAACACTCTTCATACAGAGACTAAAACCGGAAATGAATTGCCTCTACTCATGGTTAATATCTGTCAGTCTCCAGCCTGGATTAGCTTATTTGTCCATGCCACACACCTCTGTTGTTGTTGTTGTTGTTCAAAAACAATTAAAACATCAGTAAAACCATGATGAAACCAGATCCACATATTTGCTGAAATGTTGCCACAACCATAACTTTTTACAGTGTCTGAAGCAGGCATGAAGCAATTGCGCATTTGTGACATCTCTGTGTCAGCTCTCTACTTTTTTTTTTATACACCACTAGTTCCTCATGCTTTCAAGGAAATCTTGTGAGTTGACTCTTATGTCAGATGCTGTAAAAAGTTATGGTTGTTTGGAGCATTTGAGGCAATATTTTGAACAAATATCAGGGTCTTGTGTTTTGTAACACGTCACCCAGTGCAGCAGTGTGTTTCTCTGACGTGTTTTTAATCAATTTTGTCTAATGGTCTAATGGCACAGGCGAATAAGATAATCCAGGTTGGAGACCGACAGAAAATAATCATGAATACAGGCACTTTATTGTTGGTTTTAGTCTCTGTATGAAGAGTGTTTAAAATACTATTAATATAGAAAATGAAAATGTATGCCATCAAACTTCATAACATTAATGAAAGCATTACTTAAATTGCTATAGTACTGCAAATAATCTTCATAACAACAATGTAGGCAAGCAACTTGCACAAACCGTAGCTTCAGAATCAGAACTGCTCTGCCCCAGGGAAATAGCAGAAATAAAATGGAATAAAACAAGAGGTATAGAGACCAGAACACATTTTCCCTAAAATCTATATGGGGTAGACTTAGAGAAATTAAAACTGATTATGAAAATTACTAAAAACCCTGTAAGCACATACAGTATACATTCGGAGAATTAAATACACACATTTTCCTATATCAAACGTTTGCTACGTTTATAAAACACCACAATACAAATATCCCTATAAATTTGTTTCTATAGTGGCAAATAAGTTAGGCCAACACTGACACTACAGACCAGAGTACAATGCGTAGTGTTCAGAAAGAATCTCTGATCGTGGATCTCCAGTTTACGGCCCTTTCAAAGCCATTTCTACCATTCTGGTAGTCACTGGCAGCCTGTCTGATCTCTTCTGCAGTGGTCATTACAAATGGACCTGATGGAGAGATACAACATAGCAAAGAATTACATTATAGGTACTGATCAAGTTCTGTTTGTGACTTCCTAATCAAGGATTACATTTGCCAACATGGAGGGAATAACAAATGCCGTACCTTGTTGCACCACTGGCTCTTTGATTGGCTCGCCAGCGATCAGCACAAAACGAGATACTTCGGAGCCCTGAGGAGGAAATAAGAGGCAGTGCTCTCATCTTTGTCTGGGGGTGAAGCAGACTGACTAAAGCCTTTCATTTGTAATCTCAAAATTTACCAAGGAATCTAGACATCCTCAGCACGTCTTAAAATAAATCTGTGGCGTCACATCGTGATACTGTATTTATGTTAGACAGAATTGTGTTTTTTTTAAATGACTTTTGTCTACAAGTTTTTTTTTTTCCTAATAAACTACTGGGTTATTTCTACTTTGGGGTCTTTAGCAATCTCAAATAAACAGAGAAGAAAAAGTTGAAATAATTCCTTACAACAAGAAAATAACCTGAGTTTATTATGAGCAATAAACAAGTGCCCATGTGCTTTGATGCAAGAAAGACTATTTAGGGGGAAATATTTTCACCTTCAAAAGGGGGAATTATGAAAAACCATTTGGGAACAACTTGTCTGATTCTGAAGACTTCTCACCTTGTTTTCAACCTTTACACAGTCTCCATCCCCAAACACCACAGTGTGATGGGGCTCTACCTTCTGCTGCTCCAGATCTGGGCCTTGAAAACAACAAAAGTTCAGTGTTTTGTCCTTAAACAACACTAGAACGCTTCATATCAACACGTGTGATATGACAACATCTTTTTAGTTCGAGCTGAAATCTGAAACTATGATATTAATTGATCTGGGCCTCAGTCAAATATTCATGGATTTGTACCAATGGTGTTTTGTGTGAAAATAGATTTTGTAGGACACTAGAAAAAGAGTGTTGACATATCACTTTATTTCCCAGGTTCCCAATATTTTCAGGAATATATTAAAAACAAATAAAACATATACAGCCTCTTAATATTACATAACAATACAAGCATAAGCCATAATTTTAATAGCATTCATCCTTCTATTTGTCAGTGTGTATATGTGAAAACAAATAGGAATGTATGACTTCAGGGAGTAGAAGCTTCTCACTGGGGGGAAATAAAAAAAAATATTGGTAGGCTTAGCCTTGATGGTCAGAGTAATAGGGAGGAAAATAGATGACAGCTGTTCAGTCATTGCTATTAACATTTAAATATTCACCCACAACCAGCTGACACGTTGTTTGTGAGCTGAGCTGTGATTAGAAGCAAATACAAAAAAATGGTTCAGACTCTTCCACTTGTGGTCAACACAGTGATCAAAGCCTGCTGGTCCTGATTTTACCAGGCTGTGTGTAGAGTTCTTCAGATTTGAATAATTTCATTAATCTTCCATTAACATCTGCTCATGCCATTAAAACATCTGTCCACAATTACCAGCAGTCCAAGAAATCCTGTTTTGTAATGGTGGAGGGTCTGTGAAAATGACTTCACTATCTTAAAGGGTTTGCTCTCATGCGATGGGAATTCCCTGATCACAGGATTTTGTCCAATAAGCAGGAAATGCAGTATTTCACAGAATGATGTCAAACAGTGGTACTGATAAATCAGAGTGTAGTGAAAACATGTGGATAAGATGACTGATATCATGCCAAACTCTGAGATGGCTGTATTTTATACACAGTAGTGCAATTACTTTTCAAGTGATGTTGGGTAAACACGCCATAGTGATTGAGATCACACATAGATATGGGAACAGGGAGGGATGTGAGGGAGTGATCAAACGCACGGAAAGAACACGTCTCTAACTAAAGGATGTTAGTATGACCCTAGTTATATGTGAGTTCTTAGGTGTTAGGCAAATATATGACAGGTAATATGCCGTATGTATTCATAAAGGCATAAACTCACCAACATGAATGGATCCTGATAGTGTGTAGATAAATGCAGTCCATCCTGTCAAACACAGAAATATTATTCACAAGTGTATGTCTAATAATAAAGTTGTTTTAAAAGACCTCTCAATAAAGTTTTTTTTAAAGGGGAGGGGGTCACATGGGGGCAGCAGAAACAAACTTTAACATAAATCATCAACTGGGAGGTTGATATGGCAAACCTTTAGCCAAGTGGTGCTTATTTACAAATCTAGCTGTTACAGAGAAACATTAGTATTTGCTATACCTCTGTTCCTGGGTCTCTACCAACTCCTGAGAGAAATATCTGGCTATGTTATTAACTACTTGCTGCGTATGTCTGCTGTTTGGTGATGTGCAGAGCTTTTTCAGTGAAAACAGCTGCCACCATCAACATTGGAAGAGCGAAACATTATATTCCGAGGTGTTCCTAATATTCTGACCCTCTCATGTATGTAGCTGGGGAGGACAAAAATAGAGACACCTCTTAATATAATGTAGTCCAGTACAACACCACCTTTAACTATGACCTCAATAATAAAAATACATATAATTGAAGTTATACATTTATGACAATTTCACCAAAAACTAAAACATTTTGAGTTTCATAAACACAGATGTTAAGGTGGAAGTGTCACACTGAACATCATTCAACTGTAGAGGTATACCTACAGATGCATGAGTACATTTAGAAATGCTTGTCTTCTACCTGAGAGCACTGGCTGCACATGCTGGGCTCCTGCCTGCAGTGTGAAGTCCAGGTACATGGTCGGTGTCCTTGTATAAACCTTAGACTATAGGAGAAAAAAAATATGAAGACCTGTTCTAACACACAAACAGCCACAAGCTTTTAATATTTTCTATTTAAACAAAAAACTCATTCATGCAAACATGGGAATTGTGCCAGAGACAGTCATGCTTACAACTTTAAAACCATCAGCATTATTGTTCCCTACAAACAGACTGCAAAATAGTTATCTTAACTGAAGTCATCATATTTACATACTTTTACTTCTATTTCATGAATGTGGTTAAAACATTTCACTTGGGGATCAACACTATAATATGTAGGATTTAATGTCATGTCTTTGAGTTTACTCCACATCTGCAGGTAATTCATATGAGCTTAAAGAAACGGATTTGCAAATAGGGAACATGGTGGGAAAGTGAAGAAAATGATAGCAGAGTGTTTTCTTAGAGTTCTTTGTTCCTATTTTGTGCTGAATTACTACTGAGACATATATATAGTGCATTATGTTCAGGGATTTATCTGCACAAATGCACAGTCTAGGGCAGGTTACTTAAAAAGAAATGAATTAGCCATTATATGTAGTATTATATTTTGAAAAAGTAATTTCATTTTAGCTCAACAGCAAAAGTAATAAATTACAATACTCTTTAAATTACTTTGGTTACTCAGTCTAGCTCCCTTAAAGGTGCCTTTACACAATGTCAATGTCAACGCATGTAGAAATAAAAAATAAGACACTGTTTCTCCCAGCCTATGTTCTGGAGGTATTTACTGACCATCAGCTACTGGCCAAACATCGACAGTGACTACACACAGCTCTATAGCCCCATCCTCACAGTGAAGCTGCCAGGGTCACATAGTCACCTACTCTGAATGAAACCAGGTGATTTCCCCAATAACTGCTATTATCAGCAAGTCAGCTAAGAACACACAACATACAAATACAATGATTTTGGGGTTAGTTATATTCCTGTACTTTTCTCTACAACAGTCCAACATGTACTTGACCAGTCTGTCTAATGTTGTTAAATTTGCTAATCTGTTATAGCAGATTTAAATAATGACACAATCCAGATGAAAAGAGGGAACTGGGAAGTTCATAACATTTAAATCCCACATGTAGAGACTTTAAAAATGAAGAAAATGTTACTTTTATCAAATGCATATTTTGACCTGTTCATGTCCTAAATGTGCTTCACATATGGGTTATGAACACAAAACAACATTTTAAGGAGTAGGGGAATAAACTCAGGGTAGATTTGGTAAAAACCCGAGTTTTGAGCCTTATATTGTATAAATATAGGATGATATATGACTTTTAGAAGAGGACAAGGGCGTGGCTACTGGGGTTTAATGACGTGCGTTAAACTCAAACCCGTAGGTTTTCATGCTGACTCACTGCGTTTCCAGGGCTGCAGTAACCGTGTACACTGACTGTACACACACACACACAGAAACCATAATTTGCATTAGTGTACCCTGTGCAGGACAGGACAATCTGCTTTTTGTTTTGTTTGTTTCCTCTTTTCAGACACACACACTGGACAAATGCATGACTGACAGATATTTCTTCACACACAATCACGTCACTGTTTGCAAATAAGCAATCACCATGAGATCAGCAGCTACCAGGAAAATAATGTTCAGTTTGAAAGTGTTCTTCTGACTGTGACTTGATTAAATGTTGCTGTAGTGATATTACAACCCCATATGCAAATTATATACACATCACACACAAAACAAGCAGACACACACCTTTGCTCCTAATGCTTCCCCAGAAATCACAGCGACCGTAACTCCACCCTGACTGGGCTTGGGGACCTCTGAGCCTTTAAGCTCCTGATATGCTGGCTCCACCATCTTGTCTCGCCTCGACAGGTTCACCCACAGCTGTAGGCCCACCACCGGCTCCTCTGATACAGGCATCTCAGCATGGACCACCCCCCGTCCTGCAGTCATCCACTGGTGGACAAGCAGATAGACCATATACAGTGTGTGTGTATGTAAAGGCCATACCCTGATACTGTCCCTTTATAAAAGTCATCAAAATAAACACTATGTGAAATTATGTCATACTTGCAGATCTCCTGGTTTCAGTCGTCCTTTATGGCCACAGAAGTCTTCATGGGCTGTGACCCCTTCTAAAACGTATGTTACCTTTTTGAGGAAAAAAAAAATTAGGCACAACTGGCTCATACAGATTACCTATTAGATGGATTTCTAAACAAAAGTGAAGGATTGGGGGCATTTTTTGAATTTATTTTCACTTGGTAAGCATTATTTTGACAGCCCCATTTGAAAGTAATATATCCTTTCTTGCACTGAGTGAAATCTCCTGTTCTAGATTTCTTCACCTCAGGCCATAAGCTTACAAACGAGGGCTGCTTCAACACCAAAAGCACATGTGGGCTCGTTTCACTGCTCCACGGTCAGACAGGACAGGAAGAGAAGTGCTGAGTGTGGGCTCGTGAGTTCAAAGGTGAACATCTGTGTAAGGGAGGAAAGCCTGGGTCCCTGCAGCGAGCTGCCTGTGATTTGCCTCCACAGCTGTGTGATTTCAAACGCCATGCGGGTGTAAGGAAACACACCTGCTGAAAGGCATGCTGGGAGTGTAGAATGGTCCTTTCCACCCAGACTGGGAGATCTGAGTTACTTTTGCCAAATCAAACACACTTGGAGAAATGTCTGACAATCTAAAGGCAATATCTGGGATTTTTCTCATTCACTGTGGGGCAAGCTGGGGGCAAGCTGTAAAAAGAACACTGGCATTCATTCATTATGGCTAATGAGTTAAAAATCAGTATAAAATGCAAATGGTGATGATCAAACCAAGGCCAAAATGAAACTGTCTGACAAATAGCCCCCAAATCCAAGAAACTGTAACCAGAATAGGTCTGACAATTTTATGTTAAGGAAAAAAAATGTTATTATTAGTCATCAATTACTTCTTTAGCAATTAAATAATATTGCCCTTTAACTCTGCAGCCCAGCCTTAAAAAAAGGACAAAATGCAGGGAAAGACAAGGTGGTGGTGGGGGATTTAAAAGTAGGCAATCATGTGAGAAGAGTTTGTTTATGAGGGGAAAATCAGTTACTTGATTAAAAAATTTTAAGTAGAGCTTCATTTCTAATATGTGCATGCACAGTACAAGAGGCTACTGCAGTAATATAATCACATTTTCTGATCTCATCTCTCAGTTTAATAGACTGAGGCAGCCACCATGTCAATATGTCAGTAACAATGGACAAGGATACAGAATTAATTTCAAACGCACAGGACAATAAAAAGGAAAAAACAAAACCTAGGAGGTTCCACAATAACAAACCAGAAACCACGGCAATTCCCCTCTTTCACAAATGGGGATTTCTTCTGTGAGTTGTCATGACTCAACTTTGAACACAAAACTTGCTTAGCTAAACTTGAGCTCATGCAAACCTAACAGTACTGGCAGAGCTCATATGTCTGGATTTCTCTATGATTTTATTGAAAAAAATCAAAATCAAAATCTACAGGATAAACTAAAACCACCATTTGTGGAAGCCAAAGTGCTACTGGAGCTTTCTGTTGTCACCACCTGGTGACCAAAGTATGAATTTCACCTCTCTGACACCTGTCGTTAGTCCTGTGCTCCTGTTGCTATGCTCCTTTAGTTTTTGGCTAAAGGGGTTGTACCAGTTCAATAATGCTATTATGTTTTCAGACATATGAAGATTGGAAAGCCTAAAATCATAGTCTTACTGTCTCAAATCCTCTGTGAGGATGGTCTGGAAACCCTGCTGGCTTGCTCACTCTAAACTCGTCCAACAACAGGAAAGGATCCAGGTTCCTCAGCTGGAATTAAAGAATGTACACTGTTATATAGAGTAAGTTCTTAGTAAATGTGATGACAGTTGGACTACAGTGACATGTTGAATGACTTGCCTCCTGTCTACCAATGCTCCTGCGGACACGAGCGCCAACTCCCTCCACTTGTTCCACACTCAAAATAGTCTTTTCCACTTTCCTCACGTTCATTGTGCTGATAGTCACTACAAAACATAAATACACAATAACGTTTATTAAACAACCATTATGGACACAATAAAATCTTAATCTTTTGTGTACACGCTGTTCTTTGAGATGCTAAAAAAGCAGAACAACTTGTTTGACAGTCAAATGTATTTACAACATATTGAAAGCCAGTAAAACACTTAAGGAGATGTCATGTTTTTTGAGATTTCTGGTCTTGATAGGCTTTCTTATCAACAGGTGATACAGAGAACTAATACAGATAAACTAAGCAACAGTCAGTCATAAACTATAATGTCAAATATATTTTTTTCTATTTGACACTGTTAGTCTTACAATATGCTTCATCACATTAAATGCCCACCTATCCTCTCATTTCCCCACTCACTTTCTCTTATCAATGGAACCTACAGTTACCCTGCATGTAGTGGGTGAATGCGCTAGAAAAAACAACCTGGACAAGAAAAACAAATTTCAAGTTCACCACTGCCCAGTCACATAAAACCTGAGGCTTTTCTTCTAACTGTTTCTGTAAATATCCCAAATGAGGTCTCAGTGCAAAACTGAATGTTTTTAATTGTCAAAAATCTGACATAATAGCCTTTTCCAAAATAAATTATTGCAAAGTAATATAATATGACAAAATAGAGAGGTCACAAAAGGGTTTTCCCGATTTCAAAATCATCCTGGAGGGTCTCGGATGCCGATGTGACAGCAGAATCAGCTGTAGATCAGCTGGTCCTCAGCTGATCTCAGAGCTGCTGTTGTTGACTGCTTCGCGTCACAGCTTTTGCTGAATTTATTTCTAATACTTTGCTTATGACACCATCTTTGTCCTTGATGTCGCTCTGCTGCTTCCTCGTGATGTCGTAGGTGGTGTCTTGTTAACCGCATATTATATTTTCACTTTGCATAAAGGAAGCGTAGCGTGTGCAGTTTGACTGTTCCCTGTCACGAATCACTAGACACGAACACCAAGTTCCTCACCGCTTAAACCTGGCAGGAAGAAGTTAAAGGTTCAGATTAAAGTCAGGGGAAACGCATTTAAACTGTCAACGGGTAAACAAACTTCACTTCCCTCGAATCTACTTCTAAATCCTGCAACGCTATCATTAAATTAAACATCGACAAATAGCTCAGAAGGTTGTTCACATTTCTAGACTACAACCAAACAACACCTACCTGAAAATATACAAGTGCCGATACAGTTTTACTTGTTTTTACTACTTTATGGTGAAGTATCAATAACAGCTGGTTTATTTTGCTACGCATACAATCCTCCTCCTCCCATAGGACTGAAATGCGGAAGTCGGGAAGGGGGTGTGGCTAAAAAAAGTTAAAAGTAAAGGGGGAAGCAGGCGCATTTAATAGAGCATCATTTACATTAGTCTTTACAAAACACCAAAACAGACCATATATAAGGACAATCCATGACGTTGATGAATCCCTCTAAGTGATTCATTCCCAATCAAGTCGAGTATACAGCCCCGAATCACTGATTTAGTATGAATGACAAATTCTTTATCCTTACACCCTTAATTCAGATAAGAAAAAAGTGTCACTATATGAGGAACCCAAATTCTTCATCATAGTCATTATTTTTGTGACTATACTATAACGTTTCTGTTTAATTATTGGGCTCTTAAGAGTGAATATCTGTTTATTTGAAACAGAATTTTTGTTGTAATCCACAGTGTTTGATCAAGGCCATATAGGCCCATAATACACCAAGTCCCATTTGATCAGAATTGCAGGAACAGAAGACTGCATACAGACATGTAAAACTGAATGGTTAGATGGTAAAGCTAAAGCTACAGTCAGAACAGGTCCCTGGAGGTAAGGGATCAGATGATGAGCTCTGCTGGAGCGCAGCAGGTTTGCAAAACTGGAAATCTGATCATCTAGGCCTAGATTGGCATATAGGATAATATTTAATATTTAAATGCTTGTTTTTGAAGCACCACCCAATGCAGTTTTCACAGCTTAAAGCCATAATAGGCCTTGCATCTGCTGAACATATTCTTCAGTTTTACATTTCTCTCCACTCAGTTCAGAAGCCTCTCCTTTGTTCCATTGCTGACGACGTATGATGTCCTTGGCGATTCGCATGCTGGCAGCCTGCCCACCAGCCAGGTTTACTGCATGAGGTCCGACCTGTGTGTGTGGCAAGTGGGCAAAAAGTGTTGAAACATATTTTTACACACTAAAGCACTATATAGAAGACCCACCTGAAGAGCAGCGTACTGCCCCATAAGATAGAGCGGGCACCCTTCTGCCCACTGTAAGCTTTCTAATATGCACGGCCAGCCGTCTACCACCTTCATGGGAAACAAGCCAAACACATTTTATTAGTATTATATGAATTCATATTGTTAAAATAGAACACAAGTTAGTTGATCTTATCCTGACATCCTTTAAGTCATTTTAAAACAGTTTAAACAAACCAACACTTTTTTTGTTCCATTCTCCACAATTCCGCATTTTTAAGTTTAACCAACCTGAAGTGGGAAATCCTTCATTACTCCAGAGAGTAACGGATCCTGTTTGACGTCAAGTTTGCAGCCAGTAGCGAGCCAGATCATATCTCCAGTCCAGTGGTCTCCAGTGCTGAGGGAGAGACTCCAGGCCTGGCTCTTGTAGCACCAGCTGGCTTGACTCACCTGAACAATCGCACGAGATTCAGGTCACAGTACATTATATTACCTCACCTCATTTCATTTCATTATTTATAACCTCATTGTATTACATCTCACTCATTCTAGGCTCACCACATCTAGGGAACTCAACTAACACAAATGGCTGAGATCTCATCTGATATCTGACCTCAGTTTACCTCACCTCATCACATCTTGTGACACATGGCCTCATTTTTACATCCCTCAGTTTATCTCACATCACCTCACCTCATATCATCAATTTTACCTAACTTCCATCTTAGCTCAACTCACTTCTACTAACCTCATCTTGCCTAGAGTAAAATTAGCATTCATGTCACCAAACCTCATTTTATTGCACATCATTTTATCTCATTTAATCTCATCTCATTTTACCTAATGTCATTTTGTCTAATCTCACCTCATATCTCTCTGCCTCATTTCATCCCATTTCATCTAATCTAATTTTATTTTAACTGACCTCATCTAATCTTATCTACCCCATTTCAGTTTATCTTCATGTGATGATGGTCATCATCAGCTTAATCAGATTTTGCTCATCTCAACACATCTCACCCTCAGTGTCATACCCTCTGGAATGCACATGAACCATTACCTGACAGTATGTCTTTACATTCACTTGTCCATTCAGTATGAATGGCTGAAGTTGGATGTAGGCCTCTGGGGTGACAGCCCCTCCTTTTCTTGCCTGGCCAATCATAACCAGCCGTTTGTGGAGACTTCGTTCATTATAAAACTGTCGTAGGTAGGCCTGGCCATCCATCTTGATGCCGTGCTCCACATGGGAGTAACGGCCGACCAGGCTCTCCACATCACCCAAATCAAATTGTTTTAGCTGTAGAAAAAACAATGAAGACTGATAAGCGTGGTGGAGGCAGATAGATATACCTAGAGTGAGTCTTCATGGTTGGTCTACATGCAGTTTCACACTGGCACTAGACCTGGAGGTGCTTCCTCATGACCCATGTCACATGGCTGGCACCTTGCTGCAGGGCAATTGAGACGATATGTGCGCTGGTCAGACCTCCACCAACTACCATTACTCTCTGCCCTGCCTCACACACTACGCACAATTCTACACACACATAGAGTACTTGTCAAGAAAAATGCTGCAGTGAGGACAGAGGATCAAATAGCCACTGAAGACTGCAGAACCCTGGAAAGAAAATTACTGAATGTTCTGAAAATTCTGGCAAATGTGCTTAGGCATCAAAGCGTGTAAATTTTCTGCATAGCAATATCACATCGCTTTACACCATTTGGACAAAAGGTAAAACATTTTTTCTGTGTTATCAGAAGAAATCTTATTTACCTTTAGTGGGAAAAGTTTCATTTTGTCTCTGATAATTTGATTCTCTAAGGTTTTGCTTAGAACATGACAGATGGTGCATTAGGTACACTGTGTGTTGCAGGCGCTCCTCTGGGTAGCTCTCTCCAATGCTTTTCACCCATGAAGGGATGTTTGCCATCTGGGCACGAGTTGGACCTGTTGCCATCACGACTTGGCGGGCTTTTAGGATGTTGCCTTCCTGAAGCTGGACATGAAAATATTTTACTCTCTTCTTTGCTCCATCTCCTATCCTATCAGTTGCTCTTGTGGCATCCCCCTCAGTTTCCTGTCCATTTAACCAGCCAGTCTCTTCTTCACTGTGGTCAATAACAGGGGTGATGTGCTCCACTGTTCCCTTTACCAGCACTTTGTCCAAGTTGTATCGCTTCACCTGTATATTCAGATTAATCAAAACAACTTAGCAAATAGCAATGCTCAAATGTTGGTTCTCATGCTGCTTAAAGTATAAAGTTGGCATTACTTTATATTTTTCCATCTAACTGTTAACAAATCCCATAAAACCCAAAACCAACAAAGTGCAACTGAATGCCAATTCCTGCCTTGGCCCTGTCTTTAGCCCTTTTCAGACATGGGATACATAAAATTGCTGGCTTCATCAGTCTATTAAAATGAGTGCCAAGTTGAAAGTGATCCATGTTGTTATTAAGATCCTTAACAGAACACAAGGGTTAATGTTACTACGTGTAGGTCCGATCTAGTAAGACTGCAACTGCGATATCTGTAGAAAAGTGAGCTCATTCAGACATGAAGCCAATATGTTCTGATTAATAAAATGGAGTGCATGTCTGGTGCTCTAGCCGCCTATTCCATCTCTGTCTCTGCCTTTACCCACATTTTCACTTCCCCAGGAACCTATATTACTCCGCAAATTTCCAGTAACTGCATTCTCCATCAGATGCTCCACCAGACTTTCTCTCCAATCCCAGTGACCTGAACTTTCCCACACACTCACACATCTTTTCCCAGTTTGCTCATTATTTCAGCCAGCCAATTACATCAGCTCTTTGTCAGATTGCCATGTTTCAGCGTATTGTTTTTATGCTGTCTTGTTCATGCAACTCGGTCTGTTACTTGCACCTTGTTTTTGTTCCTGTCTGTCCATCTTTGATATAATTTTGCACATTAAAGTTACTTCACTGTACTGTCCTGGCTGTGCTCTGAACACAGTTTGTGAAACTATCAATACTTTTCCCTGGCCCAATTCTCTTTGTTCCTACCATGCTAGAAGCATTTAATATAATGTATTGTTTAATACAAGCTCATAATTAAATGATTTATTTGTTATTTCTGTAATTTTAAATCTAGGAATAACGTAGCAAAAAAGCATAAAGCAGTATTCAAATTACTACTGCAGGTTATTTAGATAAAGTGTTTCATTCTTTTGGGAACTTATTTTATTCAGTAATATTATAAAGACATAAATGCGATGTTAAAGAGAACAGTACTTAATTAAAATCAAGATTTATAAATCAGACTAGGCAAACATAACATTTTAAGGTTTTTCATCATCTTCATTGCATTAGTGTAATACTGCCAAAACACACAAAAACTGTATACCCAACCTGATCTTTAAAGAAATCCACACTTAGTCTGGTTCCCGGTAGACTGAAGGACAAACTCTTCTTCAGTGTTGAGGTAATATTTAAACGTTTCCTCTCCTTCTTGCCAAGCCGCATGTCATTGAAAAATGCATTTTCGTCCAGAATGTAAACCTGGTCTGGAAGACTGTGAAGCTCTGCTGAACGATCACACTTCAGAACAAACTCCTGGAGTGCTTTCTGTCAAAAAAAACATACACACATGCTTGTTTTCATACTGTCAGCCCACCTTCCTTGTTTTTACTCTAAGGGAAGTTGTTTGTGTGTATACCTTATTGAGAGAGTCTGTGTGCACTAGTGTGTGTGAGCGTAGATGGGAGATGTTCAAAGCTGTGAACTGGCTCTCCCAGAGAGCAGCCCATTTTCCATAGGAATCAACCACTTGGAGACTCAGCGGGGGGTAAACAACCCTCTCTGATATTGCTGACTTTGCTAGTTGCCCCTCCAGTGGCAGGCCTGCAGTGGCTAATCAATAAACACATATGAACTGAATTATAAGGCCACATAACATCACTGTAAGGCAGAAATCTTGTATCTCCAAAACTTCTACTTTTCAGGAAATGAAGTCTTTAAGTCAATTATCAAATTGTATCTCATAACTATGAGTGAGTGTATTTTAAATAAAGGCAGTAATGCACCATTTGTTGTCCTCCTTTTCTTTTTGCCAGTGCAGTATTTGTTGTTGGATGTTTCTGGATTTAGTTGAGGCCGAGGAGGATCCGAACAGGAGGGAGAGAGGGGTGAGGCAGGGTTTGGATCTGGGTCAGGGTGAGGGTTGGATAGCAAGCTAGCCAGAGTCAAGGCATGAGGGCCACCCCCTATTATTAACACATCAAGTATCACCATCTGAAACACACACATTGACAACAAACACACAAAGATTATACAGGCCAGTGTTAAACCTCATTTAAAAACAAGTGTGTGAAGGTAAATGTCACTTTCAGAGTCTGATTTGTAACCAGAGTTAGCGGGCATTAAGACTGATCCAGTAAAAATGCAACTGAGTGGCTTCATTCACATTTCCAGCCCATGATTTTCTGTTATACTTTGTTGACTATGCTGCTAACGTAGCCTATTCTACCTTAGCACCAATTTTATCATCAGTGTGTCTGCACTGATAGATAAAAAACACAGTTTAACATTTAGTACTAATAAAAATGCATGGTGCATTAACTGTGGCCCAAATTCAATAGTTGATAACAGTGAATGCTCATGCTCAACAAGAACTGGTACCATGCTAACTCTGAGAGACGAGACAGTCCAAGTAACTTCAAAACAGTGCTGATGTATTCAAGGGATCATAGGTAAAATTAACATTACACGCTCAGGCATCTTGCACCTCCAAAATGCATGCATGCAGATGTAAGATGAAAGACCCTGAACCCACCAGGCCTATACATTATATCCCCTCGGTTGGGCTAGCCCCATACTACACAGAAATGTCAACCACGACGTCTCTGTTGCCAGCTTTGCAGCTGGCCATAGCACTAGTCAAAACATGAAGCAAATCAATGTGTGTGTGTCTGTTGATTAAGTGGTGTGTAGCTAAAAACATTCTCTCACGACCTCTAGTGACATGTCATGACATTAAACATAAGAA